TAATACATTTCCACCTGATATTAATAGCAAATTTACCCTTGACATCATTGTACTGAATCATCATCCTGATTATTAGGTGTCAACCTCACTTATACATACTGTAAGAACTTTGGGTACAAATCTCAATAAAGGCCTTTACTGCAACAGCACTATGATTTCAGAATATTTTATATCTGAGAAAAGATTTGTCAAGAAGTCCTAGGCATCTATTCTAAAGTAATTAAACATAGAGACAGTGTATCAGGCAAAGCATACTCACCTATTGATTGCAAAGCAGGCAGTAATTAAAACTCTTATTCTACCACTGAAGAAAAACACTGATAATTCGCTCCTAAACAATAAATTAGGAACCAGATGTTTTCAGAGGAGAATCCTGAATATCTTTCAGTGACTTTTTCTCTCTTTGTTTATTCTATGGTAGTTGGTGTTTTGTATCTGTCGGCTTCTGCTGTGATTGTGCAGGATTTTCATCAGTTACAGACTTATGAAAATCCTCTAATAACTCCAGCTGTTTACGACGGACAATGATATGAGGACGAATCTTAGCAATGACTTCAATTGCTTCCTGAGGAGTCCAGTGATGGACCTATGAGAAGCCACAAAATCCATATGTAATTTCTATTTATTGTTAAACTACAATACTGTATGTTCCAGCATTACAATTGGGAAGCACCTAGCAGATAAAGTTCTGCAAGTCCCTTCCATTTAAGTGAATCCCATTTTTTCTTTCACACCTTGAACAGTTTATTCCTAATCAGATATTTTGCCATTCCATTTTTGACCTGTTCATTAAAAAAAACATTCTTACCTGAATTAAATAAGCAGCAACCATGGTGGCACTGCGACAGCGTCCAGCTTTGCAGTGCACATAGACACTGTTTCCACATTCACGATGTTTCAATACAAACTTGACACCTTTCTGGAGATTTTCTAGTGAGGGGATTCCAGTAAAGTCCACAGTGCTAAGACGCATTTGTTCTACACCCATTGCTTCCCATTCCTGTAATTAACCCCAAAATAAGAATCAGATTGAAAGAGAAACTATAGGGAGCTATAGGCTAGATGGCAGGAAAAGATGTACAGTACACTATCCAGAGTCATTTTGAGATGGGTGCCCATATAAATTTAATTAAATATTCATCTAGAATAGCACATGACTATTTCAACATAATTAAAAGCTCATCAAGGAAAAGTTCAAAAAAGAAGCTAACAAGAAATAAGGCTGGAACATTAGATGATACCATGAATTGTTAGAAGTGAATATAGTATCATAGATTAAGGCAGCAACCAGATCAGGATCTTAAAAAAGCAAAACGTTTTGGATCAGTGAAAGTCCTGTCTAATCCTACACGTGTCACATGGCAACCAACCAGATGAACTGGGAATCTAATAGTGAACATGGAGGGTCACTACTGCTCCCAAACATATGGTGTTTTAAGGGATGCTGCCTTTCACTTAGAAGGCACTGTAAAGCCAGCAAGAGTGTGTTTAAGTGTTTCTCTTAAAGCCGTGCACCCAAGAGTTGTGTATTCTATAGTTAAATGTGTTGCATAAAGATGTATTTTCTTTTACTGGTATTTCATTTCAGTGAATGAGGGTGGCCAAAAGAAAATTCTACACCATGCATGATTAAAAAGCTATCGTGCTTTTTAAGTAAAAAAAAAAAAAAAAGCCCATGCTTTAATTCTTTGTAGTAAATCTTATGTAGCGTCAATTTGTTCTTTTATGCACCTTTTAACCTCATGATAATATATGTAAAATTGAGGAAGTCTCCTAACACTTGATTGCATTCAGCACATCAAACTTAATTGGCTTGCTTGGATAAATCCTTTTGATTTTCCTATTCCAAATTATTTGCTACTTACAAATCTCTTCCTTGACTTTTATACAAACATTGTCAGGGCATTGCTATGTCAAACAGATGCTATTAAACTAGAAGTCCCCAACCTTTTGAGCACCATGGACTGGTTCTGTGGAGAGAGGTTTTTCTACGGACCGGAGGGGGCATGGTTTCATGTACTGCCTGCATCCCATGGATGGGGCTTTCCTTGTTTGTGCGGACCGTTTTCTGGCATGCCACAGACCAGTACTGGTCCACGGACCAGGGATTGAGGACCCCTGTATTAAACCATATTGTTTCCTCGCAAAGAGTTGGTACTCTGTACTAGGATTTGTACTCTATTGAACTGTGATTCTCGGTTGCATCCTCATAGTGCTATACTGGTGATGATGAGCAGAACGTACCTCTGGAGAGCAGCATAAAAAGCGAGTCTCATACTCTTCATTCATGGTGAGCACTCCTCGGATATTCTCTTGTTCTATCAGCTGCAAGAAGAATTCATTCACAACATGCCCAAATGTTCTAAATGTGCTTTAGTTTAACATCCAACTTGCATTGTCCATATGTAGTGCTAATAATTCTGAGAATTCTTAATCTCTAAACCGACTAGGAAGTTGGCAAATTGCAGCTAACAATCTGTAAGATATTGGAGAATAAGAGCTCTTTTATTGGTTATGTTCTCCAATAAAAAAAATAAGTCAAGTTCAGGCTCTGGTGGTTACATGGATACATTCATGCAAGGTTTTTTTTTACTATAGTATTGAAGTAGCTTACAATTACATTTTTCTTGAATTGTTGTTCATTTTTCCAGTTTAACCCTCACCTTAGAATTCCTTAACAACTTGTCGTCCAAATACTAACCAGGTCCAATCCAACTATGCCCTGATTCCCAGCTCGGATATTACTGTTCACTTAAGACTTCTCTGTCTCTATGGCTATAAAACAGATGAAATAGGTGATAGGTCAGGAAGTCTTCTTTTAAAAGTACAGGTAGTCCTTAACTTACAACCATAACTGAGCCCAAAATTTATGTTGCTTAAGAGAGAAATTTGTTACGTGAATTTTGCCCCATTTTATGACTTTTCTTGCCATGTTTGTTAAGTGAATCACTGCAGTTGTTAAATTAGTAACATGGCTACTAAGCAGTGAATCCTGTTTCCCCATTGACTTTACTTGTCAGAAGATCACAAAAGGTGATCACATGACCCTGGGATATTTGCAACCATCATAAAGGTGATTCAGTTGTCAAGCATCTGAATGCAAATGATGTGACCATAGAGATGTTGCAATGGTCATAAGTGTGAAAAATGGTCATAAGTCACTTTTTTCAGTGCCTTTGTAACTTTGAACGGTCACTAAACGAACCATTGTAAGTCAAGGACTACCTGTATGCTTTTGATTAGGCTCCCCCCCCCATAACTAACAAGCAAACTGAGATGACTAAAGTCAGTAAATCAGTTTCATTGAATTTGAACATCTCCGAGGTGACATCTTGTATGGCATGGAAGAATGTCTACAGCTAGAATTAAACTGCTCCGAAGGAATCTTTGTCTTGGTGTCCCTGACTTACTCTTTACAGCAGCAGCTCCCAACCTTTTCTATACCCCGCACCCCTAGAACGCTTCTGATATATTTTCGCACCCCTTACAAAAGTTTGAAATAACGGCAACAAATTATGCATATACACTATAATTTTGAAAACCCCAAGTTTTCTCACCCCCTGGAATATCGTCTCGCATCTCCAGGAGGTGCGAGCACCCCTGCTTGGGAACCCCTGCTTTAGAGAAACAACAAAAACCAAGTCATTGTTTAATACCCCCACTCTGCACAGTCTAGCCCCAAGGTAATGTGTTAATATACTGTACAGGAGAAGCCTTTCAAACCAAATTCGTTACTGAACGCTCTTCACCTTATCTTGGTGTAATAGAGTGAAACCAGTGGTTCTCAACCTGTGGCCCGCGGACCCTTGGGGAGCCATGATTGTCAAGTCTGCTAACATTGGATGTTTTTGCTTGCCATATGTGAAGAAGCAAACATGTTTTATTTAGCCTACACATCACTTCTAGAGTTAAAGCTGTCACAGGGGTCTGTGAAGGCTTGAACAAATGTTATGATTTAAATCTTAAGTCTTGGGGGAGGGGGGTTCGTGGTCACGATCCATGGCCACCAAAGGTATTTAAAGGGGGTCGGTGGAGTAAATGATTTTACCCACTCCCATGGTTACTTCATTTGCGCCAATTCTTGCCCTTTTCCACCACACCATTCACAGCAGGGCAAAAGTTGCTCCAATCTCCAGAAGTGACCGGCACCGAGTTGAAAGGAACTCAGAGCAAACGGGACCGGGCAGCCATTTACATTCCTGAAGTGCAGAAAAGCGCACGGCTGGATGATGCCATTTAGGGCAGCGGGCAGCAAGGTTGGCGAAAAAAACAAAACCCACTTCCTAAATATTTTCCTGGGAAGCTTGCGCGGGGGGGGGGGGGAAAGGATGCCACCCCTTCCTCCTTTCCCCCGACTGGCTAAGGGAGGCGACCCAGCAGCCGCGACCCTGGAGTGGCCTCCGCGGGGCAGCCGTGGAACCCCGCAGACCCCGGTTCCGTACCTGGCGGCAGCGTCCCCGCAGAGGAAGGGCCCCCAAGACAACCGCGCGGTCGATGCGGCTGAACCACGACCGTCGCGAGCCAGGCAGCTGCTCCCGCACCAGCGTGTACATGAGGGTCGGGTAGTAAAAGAGGCGGGCAATCCCGGGCCCCAAAGCGGCGGAGATTACCATGGCCAGATCGGTCGGAGCTTCCCAGGACCGTCGAGGTGGGCGCGAAGAGTCTTTAGAGAAGCTCATGACACGCGGGCCAGAAGGGACGCGGCGACGGGCATCTCGGCGGCATGAGCCGAAATCGGGAGCCCCGGATTAGAGAACCAGCTGAGCGCGCTCATTCGTAAATGGGGGGGGGAGAGAGAGAAACACCGCGCTTGCGCCTTTTTTTTTTTTTTTTTTTTTTTTGCGCCTCTCTCCAGCTTCTCGATGGTCTCTCCCGGAAGTGCCGCCATCTTGCGAAACCGGCCTGAGGCGGAGGGAGGCGAGCGAGCGAGCGAGCGCGGGCGGGCGGATCCCCTGGGGCAGGCGAGGGCGGTGGCCGCCAGGAGGAGCCCGGGAAGGGCAGGGAAGGGACAGCGCGCAAGTGTACGGTGAGCGTGCGGCTCCGGTCGGCGGCGTCGGGGTGGCTTAGGCGACTGGATCTCTCCCGTTTTAAGAACGCTCTCCTTTCTCTTCGAGTCGGGGCCTCGCTGCTATATCCGAACCGCTTGGCTCGGCTTCCCCCCTGCCGGGGTTGGGGGGTTGGGAGCAGTGGGAGGGGGGAGGAACAGCTGACTACCGTACTTGCCCCCTTCCCCCCCTCCTCCTCCCCCCCCCACGATCTGAGCGTCGGGGGGGCTTCGGTCGCGACGCCCACCCGTCTATATAGCTGCGCGGGGGGCTTTCCTTGCATCCAGCTGGTGAGTGTCCCAAGCCCACTAAGGAGGGCGGAGGGAGCCCCTTGGGGGAAGCCGCCTTCTCAGCCTCTGACTATGGTGGAGCAAAACTCTTAAGCCAGGCGCTCCTTCGGGTGGGTTGGGCTGTCTCCGGGGGGGGGGGTTAACGGTGTGTGTGTGTGTGTGTGTGTGTGTGTGAAGAGACGAATCGCAAGATTCGGGGCATTGCAACTTTGCGTCGTCGCCGCCGCCATCCCAGGGGGGGCGGGGGCGGGGCTCGTCCTCTGGTGGCCGCTGGAAGGCTCGACGCGCAGGAGGTTTCTTCTTCCCGTTAGGAAGAAGCTCTCTCTGCCTTCGCCCGGAGGCCGTTCAGGCTCCCTGCCCCGCGGCGGTAAGCGGATCCCATAGCGGTTGGGCTCGGGTAAAATGACCCCGAAGTGTGGTGGAAGCGGGGGGGGGGGGGGGAAAGATGCATTCCTGGCCTTTGCAGAGAACCCGGATGGGTCAAGAAGAAGAAGAGGAGGGTGGGAATCCCTTGGGAGGTTTGGGCACGTGGTAGAGGGTGGAAATGACGGTTTGCCCGGCTCCCGTGAAAAATCGCGTTGATTTAGGATGGAAACCTTCGGGTTCTCCCCCTGGGAGTTTGGCTCGGTCAAGCTAGGCGCAGGGGTAGGCAACCTTGGCTCTTTTATGACTCGTGGACTTCAACTCCCAGAATTCCTGAGCCAGCTATGCTGGCTCAGGAATTCTGGGAGTTGAAGTCCACGAGTCATAAAAGAGCCAAGGTTGCCTACCCCTCAGCTAGGGTGATGCCAGGTCTGCATTGAACGACGGAGGAGTCAGAATAGAATACAGTCACTTAAATATGAGACAGATGAGGGAAAACGGTAAGGGAAGGGGCGAGAGAGATCCCCCCCCCCTTTTTTAAAAAAAGAAGAAAATGTGTTTGTTTACTAAATGTAATTTAGGGGCTGCTAGATTCTAGAAAACTCTGGGCCGCTTGCCTTGTAAAGTAAGGCCGCTAAAATATTTTTTTTTTTAAAAAATGCAAAAAAAAAAGTCCTAAAGGCAAAAATGATAAAGGCAGTGAATATTTTTTTTTGTTTTGATTTGGTACATTGTTCAAAACAGTAAGGTATGAGCTAATTATTTTATGATGCACGCTAGGAAAGATGTATGTCCTTGGAATAATTTTAAAAGAGCATTTAATGGCCCGATGTGTTCCATGGTATATCAACAGCACTTTCTCTCCTATGTCAAAGTATTCTAGGAAGTTGCTGTTGATGTACCGTAAGTGGCACAGTCTTACGTAATCTTGTACTACTTATAGTTTATTAGAGTTTGCATAAATTAAATAATTCAAATACTTTTGGAACTCTGCTTTGTCAAGTATAAGGAATTGAATACAGCTATTATATATTAACATTTCCTTGTCTTCTTTTGACTGAAAAAAGTGCCGTTATAAATGAAAGCCAAACCAGACATTATTTCAAACGGCAAAGATAATATTGAAAATTGTTAAATGTTAAAAGCCTCAATAAAACCATTCAGCTTTTATTTGTCCTTGGGAGTGAAACAAATGTTTTGTCAGTAGAAAAATAATTCAGCTTTTTATAATTCTAGGACATATCCCAGATTCAATAAGCTTCACCTAGTCCAGAATGTAGATATGTGGACAATTATGGCTATACCTCTCCATGCCCATGTTATACCTGAACTGGCTTCTAATTTGCTTTCAGATGCAATTGAAGGTGCTACCATATTACATACAAAGCCCTACATCAGTGGTGGCGAACCTATGGCACGCGTGCCAGAGGCGGCACTCAGAGCCCTCTCTGTGGGCACCGCCATCCCTGCCTTCCCCTGCAGTTCCCTCCTCACCAGCAGCCACCCCCAGAGGAGAGTAGCCCCCTGGGGTGTGGCCCGCACGGAGCAGCGCAGCCAAGGACATGGCAGATGGGCAGCAGGGACAAGACTCCGCCCTCACACCCCGTCACGCACAGATGATGCTACGAGGCATGGGCAGAGGGCTTGGCCGCCATGGTGCTGCAGGGCTGCCTGGCCGATCTGCGGTGGGCCATGGAGGCAGTGGATGGCTCTGCGGGCAGGGCAGGGGGTGGGGTGGAGCGGTTTTTGGGCACTCGATGTCTAAAAGGTTCTCTATCACTGCCCTACATTGAAGACTCTGTTACAGTACTCCCATAATTTCTAACGATCTATTAGTTTTGGCAAGAGGGGCATGCCTCAGGGTCCCATCTATTAGGGATTGTTATCTAATGGGACTTGGGAAACATGCCTTTTCTATAGCTGTACTTGCCCTCTGGAACATCACATTGCCCAGGGTTTGACTGGCCCAGGCTCTGTTTGCTTTTTGGCATGGGAGCCAGGAAAGTAATTGAGCCCAAACTATTAGTGAATGATGTTTTGGAAAGTTGTTTAGGAACTGTATTTTTTTAAAATACAGTTATTGTATTTTAATTCTTGTTAGCGCCTGTCAATCACATTGATGAGATGGTTGGCCAAATAAATAAATGAAGCATAGTCCTGAAGAACATATAGACCAGGGATGTCAAACTGCCGGCCCGTGGGCCGGTTGCATCATGCGGAGGCTGCACCCACTCCAGCTCTGGCAATGCAAAAAAATATGCCGCGACACATCACATGATGCGGCAAGTTTGACACCCGTAATATAGACAGACTCATCTGAGAAAAAGTATCTTGGCTCAACTTTGAATCATATAGGCCTTTGTAGCTAATGGGGTTTTTTAAAATAATATATTGCTTTTTAAATATCTAATTCAAGAAATAGGATGCAATTATTTCTATAGAAGACACAGAAGAAATAAAACAAGGACCCCACAATACAATTATTTTTTTGTAGGAATCTTTTTTTTTGCACTCAAATCAAAACATTTTGCTAGTATTTTACTACAGTATATTACATTAAGATGATACAACCTTTTCTTCTATAATTCTTTTATAGAGGGCCTCAAGCCTTATGTTTTTCCACCAAATATTTGAAATTTCTGTTGATGAAAAAATTTACAGTTTTGTTACTATATGCAGAGCCTTACATTTTGTGCTATTTATTCTCTTCGTAGTAGTTCCATTTTGTACAAATATTGTGAATGGTGTGAGAAAACATTGATTAATGAAGTATACTAAACCACAATTTAAGTTTTCTGAGCAATTGTTGATTCATGCAAACCCAACCAAGTATAATTTAGGGCAATGTGTGAATCCAGTTTGGGCTATAATTCATGGCTTATTAATATGTGTGAATCAGGATATTATATCCTATTACACAAACAGTACATTGCTGTGATGTGTTTAGCCAACTAGAGATAAGGAACTATACTTTGGATAGGAGGTAGTTAAACAGTGGGTATAAATGATATCACCAGAATGTGGACAGCTCAGGTTTTTACTACAGCACTTTTATCTTAATTTTATGTTTTTGGTTTTAAAAAAAATCAGCTTTAGATAACTTGTGTTTAAATGTTTTTGTTGTTGTGCAAAATTTTAATAGAAGATATGCCATACATATTAGCAATTTGCTGACCAATTTATATGTCACAAAAAGGGTCTCACATGCTTCATGGGTTGCTTGCTTCTTAACCAAACCAGAAACATTATAGTACCCATTTCTTCACTTATTCTACAAAGCTTTATTTTAATTATAGTTTGTCAGATAACTCAGATCCCAAAACTATAGTTTGCATGAAACAAGCCAGTTTTAGATTCTAAAACTTAAAAAAAACTATATTTAAAGATAATAATTGAGTTTTTGCAAATGGAAAGCAATAACTAATCTTAGAATCATGTTGAAATAGGAAACAAAAAAAAAGGTTTGCTGTAGGTAAAAATCCATCATGCTAAACATGGTTAATGTCTGAGCTGCTCTAATGACCAAGTTCTGATACATTTTTAACAGTGCAACTCCTAAGCTTTTATTTTTAATACCAGAAATATTGCTTTGAAGATTCATGTTTATTATTGCTTGTTGATTGTCTTGTTCAGTACATTGAGCACTAAAGTCTTCAGAAGGAATTCATTAATATTTTTTTTCTTTCTCTGTCTAGTATTTCAGAGAAGATTGGAATATAACCTGATTTAATTTTGTCCTAACAAAAGTGTTTTTGGAACACTTCTGGTAAAAGGAAAAAGCTGGCTTCACACATCGCAGTATGTTGTGCTTAACTTTGGTTTATTAAGCAATTATAATGACCAAGTTAATTTTATGTAATACTGAGCCATAAACAGTAGCTGAGTTCATATTGTATGCGAAGCCAGCACCCAAAGAAAATGTTGTGACTTTAATGTAGTATAGAAGTAGAATGCAGCCAAGCTCTTATCTTCCTGGCCATCTAGTTGACCTAGTAGTGACATAAGCTAAGCAAATATTTCAAGCTCAGCATCCAGTTACAAATAATAAATTTCATATGTTAGAATTTATGATCAAACATGTAATATTTAGCATATCTATCTCAAATGTATTAAAATATTAACCAATCTAACTTCAACACTAAAAACACCAGGAAGGGCAAGCAACATGTCAGGATGAGATTAAACCAAATTTTAACAATATAAATACCTAGTTGGTTTTTGCAAGTGGCAGAAAACTCTGGGAAACAGTGGGCAAGCCATAGAAGCTTCTTCCTGATTTGAGCCAAAAAGATGTATGTTTGGGAACACACAACCGCTTATTAGTTTTC